CGCTGGGACCATGGGTTCGAATCCCACTCAAGCCACGAATGTTTGTTCGCGTTTTTCTGTGTTGTCCTGTGTACAGATAGAGGCCTTGCGACTGACCGATCTCTCGTCCAAGGAGTCCTATCAAAATGTCTATAGATCAAGCCAACGAAAAGTTGGGTCCCGCAGTGCTCAGGAACTTGAAGATACTTCCCAGTATCCCCAGTATTTATGGAGAAATGGCGTCATCACTGAGTAACCTGTAGAGTGTGTGTTTAACCCTCCCACTGGTAATTAGCTACGTATTCTTGGAATAAATAACAATTATTTCTCTAATTAACTTTAATAATTTTTTTTGTAAGGAATACGAGCTATTTTCTAGTTACGAAGCAATAATGTTTAAATGAGCTTTGTGTTTCAAAGTTTTAAACAGTTATCAATTTATAATTAAAACATTATAATGGTTCAATCAACTCTTATTAGCACTTGTTTTGGTACATAAGCAGTGAGAGATAATAACAATTTTCTCGCGTTACGTATGGATTAATCTTGAAGTAATTTTTATTCTGGTAAGTACAGAGCCCTGCTGTTTCTGCCTAATATAACTGCTATAAAATACAGTAATTTTGAGGTGCCTCACGTACAGTAACATTAAATATTACAGGTGCATCGGTTATAAAATAGACGTGTTACGTTATGATCTTGTCATTCAGCTTCTAATTTCATAAACTAATTCTGCACCAGTTATTATGTATCAGAATTAAATCAAGACAGTTCAGGTACAGTACTGATTCTCGTATTTTCTTTCTTTCAGAGAATGCTGAAAAGTCGTCGCCATATTTTGCGAAGATACAAAACTGTGCATGGTTCACATAATTACAACAGCTGAAGCTTCCGTTTTGTTCTGACCGAAACAACAACAAGCTTTTACGCACAATTTCTTCTTCAGTTGCAGTTGTTAACAATTAAATAGACAGGAACAGTTTCGGTGTAGGTTACACGCAAAGTAATTTTACATGCCGCCTGTAGTGAACCTTTCACATAGAGTTCGTAAATTTTGAGAATTAATACTTTTAAAATCATATTTATGTGAGACTGAGTTGCGTTATCCCAGATGTGATTGCGAGTAATTTATTTATTCGTGATTTTTTGTTTTCACAGCTTTTTAAATAAATTGGCAAACCAAATTCCAGTATTCTTTTCTTCTTTACAAGTGTACGAATATACAGACGTCATATCTGTTTGTTGTATTTCATCTTGTCCACGCTACGACGTTCATTAAGTAAGGTTTTCTTTCATACTTTCGAAATAAAGTGAGGTATACTCAATTAAGCACTACGCCGCACAGAAGTATGGTACTTGATAAAGATTAATTATTAACTTTATGCTTCGGCCGATTTAGCCGTAAGGACTGAGGTCAGACAATCATCGGATAGGAGGCCCCAAAAATGGTCCGGACGTTTCGGCAAAAAAATATTTTTTTATTACGCGAATTAACCCTAGTTCTCGTACGTCGCAGATTTGTTAGTCACTATACTGACTGGATGCGCGTAGCCTATTTAGAGAACACTTATTAGAAATTAATCAAATTACTGGAAAATTCTACGACGAAACGTGCCTTAAATGTACCCATTACATTGTAAACATATGTAGTGAAGGGATATTAGTGATACTTAACATTGAACCATGATATTACGTACAATAATAAATATTTAAAAATAAAAACGTTAATAATCTCGTTTGTGTGTGTGTTTAAACAAAGATCTGGACAAGATGCCTTGCAGTATTCGTTGATTTGTTTCATTTTTCTCTGTTCTTTTGATGGTACAGACTTAAATGAAATCTCATCCCTTGTAATTACCATCACGTGCTGCAGTGGCGGATATATTCCTCAAGGTGACCCCGAAATTGCAGCGAGCGAAACAAAAATATTGTCACTGACGAAAGAAAAATATCTTTTATTGCTCATTGTCTTCCTGCCCACAATATAAATAAAGACGAAACTCACCAAGCATTCAGCATTTATGACTCGGCTGCTGTGAATTAATTACAATCGAGTGGCCTAATATGCATATACTGCGTCATAAAATGTACAATTATCTCGTACCTGTGAGCCAGATAATTGTATTTCAGTGACCGCTGATCGGAGTGGAAAATAAGAAAATATTTTTCTTGTTAAAATTTTGTAATTTTAATAATAATCGAAAACAACATCTTAAAATCTGATTGGTCCTTCTTTTAGGATGCCACGATTCGAATTACGCTGAATTTGGTGTAGTCACCACTAACTCTAATATCATCACTTTGTATTCGATGGTACGTGTTATGTAATGAAGATGAGTCATAAGAATTCTAATGGCGTACAGACTACACAGACTATGAAATGCGATTTTGATACCCTGTCAGCTGACACATGTTTATGAAATATATTTCAGCTGGAGTGAATCACCCCAGTTCTTTAAGCCCATATGTATAATTAGGCAAGGTACAGGTGAGAAAGTGTTGTGCGTGATGTGATGGAGATTTGGTACATCGTTCTTATATTCTGGTCACGTGGGACAGTGGCGCATACATGACGTAAGGGGCATGACACAGACATCCTTCCGCTTCCGTCTGAATCATAAGGCTGCGTGTCGTCTGACGTCTGTAGGACTTTGATTCCTCTCGTGGAATGGGACAAACCTTGGTTTTAATCAGGGATGTGACTTGTGAGGTTTCAGGTACTCGGCGATTATGAAGATGATAGCCTGATGGCATACTGCTGCGTGTAGCCTCGTAGTTGACCGACGTTTCGAAGTTGCTTACTACCACCGTCGCCCGGTTAATGGAGGCAGAACTCTCATCTGTGATACTTTGTAAAATATCTCGGAATTTATCCATTCCTCATCAAATATGCCATATTATATCCAGCTAATAGATAAATTATTTGATTTAAATTATCATTATCTGCAGAAATAATTCAAGCTAAATCCAAATGTTATAATTATGAAAATATTTTTGGAAATGTTTATAATCTATTCGCCTAATATTAAGTCAGTATAGTGACTAGCTACGGGCTGGACGGTCGGGGTTCGATCCCCGACGGGGGCAGAGGATTTTTTTCCTCTAGCCTCTGCGTCCAGACCGGCTCTGGGGCCCACCCAGCCTCCTATCCAATGGGTACCGGGATCCTTTCCCGGGGGTAAAGCCGGCCGGGGCGTGATGCTGACCACTCACCCCTATCTAGTGCCGAGGTCAAGGAAGAGAGGAGCTATACCTGCTCTCCCCCCAAACGCCTACATGGCGTATAGTGGGACAAACTTTACTTTACTTTTACCCTTTATATTACATCGAGCAGGTCGGCAACCGGTTCTGATCTGGGCTGTGTTCTCGGACGATTGGAGGTTACAGAACGTGCCTTTCAGTACAAATCTAAACGCGTTAGGAAGAACATTCAAAAGTTGACTGTGAAATCAAAACTGGCATAAGCTTAATCCGTGGAATGTGGCTGGAAGAAGAGCTGAAGATCCAAATTAATATTTTACGATAAGTATAATTCGTGTTTCACAGCTTCCGTGCATAATATTTCTGAAAATAGTTTTAAAACTTGTTGTAGATTCATCTTGTATATAATATTGGTGCTTTCGGTTTTTCTTTGAAGAGCTTTTCGCCTCTTGTGTCCTTGGCGAACACTGAACACAACGCAGATGAGAGTAAGAAACTAATTAGGTTACGTAATGATCGCATCCCGTGATTCAGCCCACTTATGTCCCAGTTCCTATATGGAGAGCTCCTGACGACCGGAAGAGCCAATTCTAGCAGATGGGTCGTCTAGGAAACGGGGTTACCACTGAACTGATTTCATGCGCCACCATCAATAACGTCTTACGACATAAAATGTGACTTCAGCTGGGCGGTAAGAACTATATTTTTTTCTTTTACATTTCGTGTTCCTCCTCTTCTCTCATTTTTATATTTTTCTCATAAGACAGTGCATAAATTAAACGTTGAATACGGAGGTCCGATCTGTCCCTTCGCATGTTTCATCAAGGAAAATTTCAAATGGATTACCGTCAAATTTGGTTCTGGTGGTCTTTTCTGAAGAATGTTGGATGAGTTTAATTGTGGTTACCATTGTTCCTATCTATAGTTTATAGCAGTAGCTTTGTGTGTATGTGTACGTGGTAGAAATACACTTTCTACAGCGAGGTATCGATAAATGTTTATGGTAAAACAGTTAACACCAGGCGTTTGCAAGGTGTCGAAAATTTTATGACCGTCATGTTTTACGTTAGAACCAAAATATAAAGATTAAAAAAAACACTTTACTAAATAATTCACATAAATAATAAAAAAAAATATATATATATAAAGTGCACGGCCCCAATATTACGCATATTTCTGGTTCTAAAAGAGATATTGGTTCTGGATGCGTACAGCGTCGATATTTCTGCGATAGACTATATATACTGAAAATAATTAGAATTTTAGTCGAAATGTACGCTATCGACTTGAAGGAAGAGATCTAGAAGTCGCTTTTCCTACCTCAGATTATCCTTGTGCATTGCAAGCGTGTAATCTTACTTAGCCGTGTAAGAGTCTTAATGCATTTCTGTCCAAAGCTAAGTTTGTTTTCTCTTGCCCATTTAGATTTTATGTGCGTTTTCCACGTATCAAAACACGAGGTTCTGCCAGTTGGCATGTTTCATCTTCGAAATTGCCGAACGAATCTTTAATACATTAGATATTGAGAGATCTACATTAAAGTTTTCGTTCGAATTTGATTTTTATTCTTACAGGTCAAATACAACCCTTAACATGCATGAAACTCAAATCTGATGTTATCAACGTTCGGAAAAATAAATTTTTAAATATAAAATACGTGTAGAGCCCATTACAATTTTTTATGGAGCGTTTTCCGAAAAAAACTGAATGTTAAAGGAAATGCTAGGATAAATTTACAGACTCCATGCAGTTGCAACAAACGAACAACAATACAAGAAGGGCGAGATACTAAACCGCAGGGAACGTATTTAAAAAAAATATGTGTACTCCATCGGAGTACATGTATGATTCTTGTTACTAGCAGCTGTGTCATATTGTCAGCCCATGAGAAACTCTCGCTTAGCGTCAGTGTTGACAGACGCCTCCATCCTGCCCTTGACATTGTCGTAACGTTGGTGAAATCGATTGTCTCTTTACAAGAGCGGATTGCCCGTGTCGGCCGCGTGGCAGCGCTGTATGCAATCAAGTTTCACCTCTTGCCTACCATCAAGGAGAGGGGTCAGGGTGGGAGGAGAGGTAGCAGAAACTTTTCCTTACTGGCGGTGTACTTCTTTAGCATCGCCTGCACAAGAGGATTGACCGTCAGTTCTTAAGCAGTGGTCGCGGAGGTACAAGCGTGCAGCCAACATGGCATCTCGAACGATCCTGGTGTTCGCCTTGGCTTTAGTGTCTGTGTCTGTGATAGGCGCTCCACCTGAGTTGCCTGATACTTCTGGAATCGACTACGTGCTCACTGATAATCTCAACGTGGACCAGTTCTTCTCCCTGTGGCTTGTCTTCAACAACGATGACGTCAAGATGTCAGGTGGGCTGATGTTTCGATGATCATTTCATCTGGGTCATTATTAATCGAGAACTGTAATGATATTAGAAATTACGAGAAATGTGATACGTATTTTAACACTTAACACCCTGCCCCAGATTATTTTAACCCAGTTCCTCCCCTCATCTTCAAATATATAGCTTCTTGTAACATTTTCCATATTCCTTCCACATCTCGATCAGTGCTGTATAATTAAGATCTGTCGATGACTCAGCCTCGCACAGATCTGTCGTTTGAAAAACCCGTTTTCACTCAGTGTACGAAGACCTGTCGTGAAAAATGTCCTCTGGAGAAAAATTCATAGACTTCACATGTCTGCCCCCACTCCTTTGCGTTAACATGTGCTTAGGCACAATGACAGCTTTACCATTTATCATTACAAATCTTAGGCTATTGAGAAAGCTTCATTATATAAATGAGCTGGTATCATTTACAGAGATTTTTGTTTGGTTATTTTGATATCGAATTTAAGTGGCGTTCAGTGAGGATTGTGGATAACACTGTGTATTTGTTCCGGGAAATAAAACATTTAAAACAGGCCACGGCAACATCCTTCCACGCTCTTTCAAACAGTTGTAACCTTAATTTCGTTCAGGAAATTATTCTGAAAACGAGACAGAAGAAACAAACTAAACTAGATCTAAGATGTGTGTAACTTCTCGTAAGTTTGATATTTGCTATTAGGTCACTAGGTGAATTGTGGTTTTCGGGGTCGTGACGCTATATTGGTGGATACGAATATTTCGGACGAACGTATCTCCCCCGTTTTCGGTGTGTGATAGGCGGTACTTTCCTCCGAAACGATGGACCACAATCCACAGGTACTGACTACTAATACTTAAGCAGCACAGAATTTGAATCACATTAGACATTACTGCTCACTGAGGGGGGTGGGGGTGAGTGGTTTATGACAGGGACATGTTCTGAGCATAAGTTATATGCAAAATCTTTTTAACTAAAATTCATCGATTCGATATACTATCGATTATAATCAGACAGCGTCTCTAATGGTATATAATTATTAGTTGGTGCATTGCCTCTAAATAATCAGTGAACCGAGCGACAATTAATAAAGCGAAGAATTGATAAAAATAAGGAAGCAAGAATGCATACAAAATTTTAGTCTGACAACTTGAAGGGAAGTGGCTACGTTTAGATTACAGGATAATATTAAAATGCAAGACCAAGTGACAGTGCAATGGAGTTTATCGGTATCATTTCCATTGCTCTGCCATTTTATATTCAAATACGAGAATATTCTGAATTTGTAACAGTTTTTAGGAACCAATTTTATTTCAACGTGGCCTGCAGTAGTGTTGAACGACCTGCTGACTAACGACACAGTAATTCCGTCGTCACACCTCACCACTGTTTGAAATAACGGTTCACACAGGTTCATGTGGATAGCAATTAGCAAACCTCTCAGACACCGTAAAGTACAAGTACGGTGCCAAGATTTGTCTTCACTGCAGATAATAATAGTGCGATTTTCCTGCTCATAGAAAGCAGTTTCGTGTACTGATATCATAACCAGTTCAGTGGCACAGATTTGTTGCAACGACAGTTTTTAAATAACGCCAACGCTTTCAGATTGTTAGTTCAGTTCGTGGATTAAGACATGTTTATTTCTTTTCACATGTCGTACTGCATAAATGTGCATATATCAGATAATCTTACTACATTTTAGGGCTAATTTTAACAAAGTATTTGTTTAAAATTAAATTATTTGGTTATTCCGTCAAATCACAATGTATTTAAAATAAGATAATTAAAATAATTAAAATATCATTCTGTGTTCCATATCGAATAATCGATTTACAATTGGAACAGTTACAACATGTTTCGGTTTTATTAAACCATCATCAGGTGTAAAATTATATTAAATTTAAAACTCAATTACAATTTTTCGTAGTGTAGTTTTTTGGAGGTTTACAACAGATATTTTCATATAATGGATCAACTTTATTGTTTGAAGTGATGCTTTTGATGTTTACATCGGTCAGAGATGAAATAGTAGACAACACAGTTGTGTCTGGAGCTGATCCAGAAGTATTACTGTATCCGATCAAGGTTTATTACTGAATGATATTTTAATTATTTTAATTATCTTATTTTAAATACATTGTGATTTGACGGAATAACCAAATAATTTAATTTTAATTTAATAAATCACAATATGACGCAACTACACTATTTTATTAAAAGTATTTGTTTGGCAAACAAAATATTTTTATTTCGCCCCTGAAATTCTATTGCAAAGGAAACCATAGTAATAACACTTTACTTATGAAAGGTTGTGACAACCTGTACTGATCATACAATTGCGTAACATTTCTTCTTAATTCATAACTTTTTAATTTTATTCCTCGATATTAGCTTCTACAGATTAGGCATCGTGGCATGCTCCATTTCAGAGACAGTTGTGAAATTATGAATCTCCGTAGACACTCTGTAGGACTCCTTGTGTGGGGAATCGGCCCAACGCAACGTCTGTAACCAATACAGGACAGCACAGCACAGAAATACGCCGACAAACATCCATGCCTCGAGCGGGATTCGAACCGACGATCTCATTGTTAGAGCGGGCAAAAACCACGCGTAGACCGCATGGAACTACCTTTCTTAGAAACGACATGGAACAGAGAACTTCTTGACAAACTAATAGTTACCTAGTCAGTAATTTGCGTCTTTTATGGAACAAAAATATTTATACAATGTACATAGAAACCTGATACTGAACCATGTCCTGAGACAATAGAATTCACACACCTTATTTTTAAAGTGCATTTTAATATTATCCTCCTATCTGAGCGTTGTCTGCTCTACGGTTTCTTCCCTTCAGGTGTTTGTTTAAAATATATTAACAAATTCTCACTTGTCTGGAAAATACGTTAATAGATTTTCTCTCAATAATATGAAGGCCACTTGAGAGAAAGTTTTTGATAACCTACATTAGACTACATGAAACTTTCTTCTGTAATTATTTTATTTATTAGACATAAGCGATTTATACTCATTTGCAAATAAAACTCCGAGGTCGATGCCCCAATGGATAGCCTCTTTTCTGACGGAAACTGGTCGAAGTTAGTGTGAAATCAAATATCCGTGGCACAGTAATACATCACCAGATTCAATCTGTCTATTTATGTATCAACATTTATGAATATAATGATTAACGCTGTCAGGAAACTGTTCGTTTCTCGTGTAGTATTGAAGAAAATCTTTTATTTTCTTATCAGTTCTCAGCATCTGACTTTCATATTCACTGTTGGAAGTTGTATACCTTCCGTTATGGACTTTCCTATGCACTGCTTATTGTCAGAAGTCTTTTACTTCATTTCAACCATTGAATATTTGTAACGTGAAATTCTGCGTTCGGTGTTTGAAATAAATCTTCTCAGAGTCCGTATTTACTCGTTTACACATTACTTGGAAAAGGCCTAGGAATTTTGCGTGGACACTACAATTCATTTTGCCCAGCCTTTTCCATTCATAATTCAACATGTCAGTACAGAAATCACAGTCGTTCAAAATTAAATTATGTTTATAAAGTCTGTTGTTAGTCCTGAATACCAAAATTTAATAATGATTTAATTTATCTAAGAAATATGCTGATGAATATGTTTGACGTAAAATAATAAAGTTTGTAAGAAACAAATGTAATCGTTATAACTGCAACATTTATAATTACGATATGAATTATTATGCACATTATAAGCTTACTATTATAAATGTTATTACCAGAATATTGATAACTGTGAAATAAAATGAATATGACGTTAAAAAACATCAAGAAAATAAAAACAAGAATTTTAAAGAATTCTGCAAAACATAAACGAAATTAAATAATGAGCATTCATGATTTAAAACAGCATAACATGGATACGTGTCTACATCTTTCTTACAAGCCAAGTATGCATGCATGTGTGGCATAGGTACATTTCCCTGCTTCAAACCTATCCAAGAACGACTTTGAACACTTTTCGCTTGGTTAGACATTAGAGCCGACTTTCTCTGCCGAAGGCCTCTCAAATAGTCACACTTAGTTACAGAACAGTAGTGAAAACGAAGTCTCATAAGTAGTGAATGTGTGAGGTCATATACTGTAAACTATTGAGAGTAAATTAAGCTAACTACGGCCCGCGGGTTTGTTACGGATTTTGAAAAGGTCATACGGCCAATAGGATTCCTTTTTGGTTAATTTTACTGATTTATCGGTTGTTACTTTATCACGTAATTAATAGACGTGTTTGGTGAAGAATGTACATGAAAAAGCTCTTTATTCTAATTTAAACTCATTTCTATAACGAAAACTGTATGCCCGAGAATATTTTATTGATTGTACTCGCCGCGAAAGTCTCAAATCCTAAAACTGTAAATACTTGCATGTAACCTTCAAAAATGTTTCCTTTTTAAAATTAATATGTAACCGATCTAGCAAATAAATTATTGATTGAGTTATATTTATTACTGGTAATTTTAATGTAGGTTCATGTAGAATCTTATGTTACAAAACTGAATGCAGAATTTCAGTGTAAGAATTACAGATTGCTTAATGAACTGTCGGTGAATGTGTCCCGGTCATGCACTTACTTAAGTTTCTATACTGCGTAGCCTTGTTGTGTAACAACGTTTTTAATACACATTTCATGTTAAGATTTTGTGATAACTTTCCCTTGTCAGTGTTATTGTCCACTGATCCATTACGTTAAAAATGGCATTCTATTATTTCAGTGACCCATTTCAATGCAACATTGTACATTGTATTTTGTTAACAAGGAAATATTGACCAATTACTTACACTCTTATGAAATACTCTTGCCACAGACTTGGCCGTGATTTTTTTCAGAAACTCCGACAAGGCCGGATTATTCTGTCGTCCGTATCGTGTGATCGTTGTATTGGTATAAATGAGCCAAGACGCTATTTCGAAGTGTACTTGAAGAGAAGTAGATTTGTATTGTTCTCAAAGTTCAATATCGTCTTTTCTGGTCTGTCAGTTGTGTAGAGACATTCACAAAAGAAGGATGTTTTCATTTCTTCAGTAAATACCACAAACACAAAATGTCAATAACGTACGTCAGTAGAAATGAGATGCCTATGTCAAGTTCAAGAGTTCATTATGTTGTCAAATTACTTCATATGTCTCCATATGGAAAATAAACGGTGGATTACTTTTTGTGGTCTTGCTGGACCGAGTAAAGAAACATATTACATAAATGGATGCAGAATCTAGAGATAGTTGGAGACTTGGGTCTGTAATGAAATGAAAAGCCTTTATTGAAATAATTTTATCATCATAACCTCGAAGGAAGAAAACAGTGACGCAGGCAAAAGATATACTGAGAAAGTAAATAATTATAAATTACGCTATTTTGCCATATATGCCATATTCTAATTAGCAACTCAGTTCGTCATTACAGTGCCTTCGTAAAACGAAATTCTATGGCATTATTGTAACGCAGTTTCCACAAACAAGCTCTCATCCGGGACATACATTCTTCTATGACACTGCTGTGAGTCAATCAGTAGGTATGTGAACATCCCACTGTTGAACTCCTCATACGAGGAACTTCCTCCAAGTGACCTTTCCTTCACGTCTGGTAACGAAATGTGTGACAGGTGATTTTATCCTTCGAATAGAATTATTTCCACTTTAGTCCGTGCTGTTCAATAAATTTCTTTATTTTCTTATAAATAATTGATTCATAATATTAACATTCTTCGACCCACATTCTAATCTTATTTACCGTCACATATTTCTTCTGTTTACGTATCATGTACAGGTTAGACTTCTGAGTATTGTCTTGGAGGTTATACCAACGATTCGCTGTCTCCATATCTGAAGATGGCGACAGTATGTTCCTTCGAGGTCGACTATGGATATTTCATACGCGCTGTAATGATGTGTCTGATGGGTTTACTGTGTCTTGTATGTTTCGTCGACCCCAAGACGGTCACAGTAGTTGACGTTCTATCGACTGCACTCAAACAGCATTTGTATGTAGTGAGACTGGCGCCTTCAGAGTGAAATTCCACGTGTCCAACTTGCTTGTGGTCGGACCGAGGCGCACTAGAAGTCCAGTGTAGTTTGGCCTTGTGAGATTTGGGTAATGCGTACTTCGGCACGGAATTTGCTTAGCATAAGCAAGGAATGAGGATCTCTTGAATGTGAAGTCTCAGTAAACCACATCGAGCGTGAGATAAGGGGAGTCCAGAAGTGATTTCTGCGGTTGGAATGTCACTTCCTGTTCACTAGAAGCCTTGGAACATAAAAAACGTCGTATGACCCACAGAAAATGAGTCATCGTATGTTTTACACTTCGGCTATGTGGACCTATAATAATGTCCTTGCAATAAACGACAGTTTTAAGTTTTGCTATTTTTACTATTACCTAGGATTGCTTGAAGAAAGTAATGAACCCTTAGCTTCTAAAAATTACGAGGAATTTCTTGAGTAGCTGAGAGATAATTACCTGCTCAAGAACTTTGGTCCATGAATTTATTATTGCTGTAGTAAGTCTAACTGATGATGCTTTACACTATTAACGTCAATGGATACCAAAATTAATGTATTAGTGTTGCTATGTCAGTAAATTGAAAATAAAAAAAAAGAATATCGTACAGAAGTAATTGCTGTAAATACTAAGACTGTTTAGATTCTTCTTGACTCTTAATGATTTATCACTCGCTAAGATCATGTAACGATGACGAAAAGAACTGTGCCGTGTAGTCTTGTAGAAATTGACTGACGTTTTCAGGCACTTCGACCTATGACGGAGGTAATAAACATCTTTGAAACGTCTGCCACTTTCTACAAGACTGCAAGGCGCAATATCCCAGAAGACGGTCATCTTAATATGTGAACCTGTTTGCAACAGAAGAATAGAAAGTACAAGAATCCCTAAAAGATGAAGGAATGCAACAAGGTCGGTGCACAGTTTGTGTTCTAACCTCGAGACTTAAGTATAGCCCTACTGTGCGTAAAGAAATAGTCCAACCGGGAATGGATTTCTTCTCATCTACCTGACAGTGTATGTGACTGGGTGACCTCGAACCTTTAAAGAGAGCAGCAGGCATTGTAGTGACCCTCAGCACGAAACAGAACGCTTGTAAATGTTATTATCTACGGGACAGTTACTGCGGTAAAAGTCTTGCACAGAACTCAGTATTTTTAAGCAAGCATTGAAGAAAATAGCTCTCCCCCTTTTAAAAAGCGAGGTTCTCACGGCTATGAAGATGTCGAAGCTGGTCTTCAAGTGGTTACCGACGTTTCGGAGGAACGTTTATAACCACGTGTAAGACAACACGACGTTTCAACCCAGAAGGCTATCCATATTCTGACTGATGTTAGATTTGAAAGTTGACCAAGCGGTATGAATAAGTGTTAAAATATTGAACTTTTTCAAATCGAATTATGGTTTTAGAAGAGTCGTGGATTTGTGTACGTTGTTGCAAAATTACAAAATAAGCACTGATGTTGCGTGAGATGTCTGTCTTTTAACTACCAAGTTCAAACGGTAGGTCTGACATCAGCAGGAGAGCTAGGCAAGCCATGGCTTACCCACCTTTCTGTTTTAATCTAACAATAGCGTCTTGAGGGATAGGTTTCTGCCCACAGGTAAAACTTTGACGTCAGATACCAGTTCTGTGCTGTAGGAGCGGACTTCAAGGCGCCATCGTGAACTGTTTCTGTACCGGTACTTAAAAAGAAAGTCGGTGGACTTCACTTATTTCCTTATTATTCGATTGTAGACCTCAATGACGAAATATTTAATTTAAAAGATTGCGAGGAGATTACATGAGTAATTTGAAAGGGGGGCTGGAAATTTCTGGGCTCCGCTTTGTTCGCTACAGTTCCATACAAGAAAAAAGATGGCATTCATGAAGTGTGAAACGTTTGCCTTAGATAAAAACATCTTCAAGTCATTCTTCCCTGTACGTTAATGGTTAGTAGGGTCTGTACATGTTTAATGTTCTAGAATTGGCAACGGGATTATGAAAAATTGCTGATTGGGCCTCGTGTTTACAATTAGGCAACAGCAGAAAAGGAACTTACGAGAAACGTGCTTGAAAAATGTGGAAACTGACGTAATACTTGTTCATATATAGTTGGATATAGGAGAAAAGGGATAGGACCCTAATAAAAAGGTACTAAAGGCAAACATAATAGGGTTAGGGGGTGAAGATACAAAATAAGCCATTCCCCGTCGAATTTCAGCTGGTATTTTCCAGTAGTAAGAACTAAGTTGTATTGTTTCAGAAGAACCTTTCACAATCTTCGCTCCCAGGAACAGCGAAGCTCCTCTAAAGGACGCACAGAATCTGCTGGCTCAACCAGACCTGGTGAAGAGATTGCTGATAGACCACATCGTACTCGGCCTCAAGATGAACCTCAACTTAACAGGGGACTTCACCATCACGACACTGGGAGGTCGAACTGTCAATGTGCGTAGGGTGAACGGTAAGTGGGTCACTGACATTATCATGTGATCTATGTGAATGTTTTGGCTTCAGAAAAGGTAGGAAATTTCTTAAACAACTGTGCATCTAGTTATTAGGTTTATGTGTGTCTAAATTGAAACAGGCAGGTCTACAAATTTGATTTGATGACTATGAATGCAGATCTGTGATTCTATTCTGCTACGGTTAAAATAAGTGACAAGTTTAGGCTACGTATAAAGTTTACCGAAATATTTAATGCTCCTTCGCCCCCCCCCCAAAAATGCTTACCTGGTATACGTACTTTAGGAAATAGTGCAGTTTCACTAATTTGTGTGATTTATGTCAACACATAATTTATATTACTCTACTGTGAGTCGAATATGTATTAAATTTTTAAAAATATTTTTATAATTTACGTAACCTTGTTTAAAACTGTTTACAAATTGGGAATAAGCACAACTGCCACGATGCACAATATGAACCTTTGATAAAAGAAAATACAATGGTGAAAGAAAGTAATTTGTATGCTGTTTTGGTGAGAAATTAAATTGACACTTTTTTAACGTAAGAATATGCTGTATCTGTATAATCTCACATTGTTTTTGATACACACGTTGAATTGGAAGATGAGCTCTCCCATGTTTTCTGATGATAACTTTCTTATAAAATTTTGTTTTCGTAATTGCAGGAACCTTGTATGCCAACGGGGCCAAAATACTTGAGCCGAGAGTAGAGGTTCCTCATGGAATATTGGTGGTAGTGGACAACTATTTATTCCCTGAGGAACTCATATTAGGTAACCAATCAGCAGCAGCAGAGGAGTCTCTGGTCACAGGCACAGCTCCTGATAATCCTAGAAACATCACATTCCTAGAAAACGTGAACCAGGTGCTGTCATATCTTAAGAGCGGCGTTAGGGTTTTCCAGCAGTTGCTCGGTAACTCCAACATCTCTGGACCTCTCAAGGATGGTAAGACGTAATTCAAACAGTGTTACTAATATTCTCGTAACTTCTTTTGCTTTCATAAATATTTTTTTGAAATTACTCCCTTTTTCTTTTCTAAACTTATTTAATTATTTATTATCTTGGATACGATTTAAACGATTACCGTCACTGAATGGATAAATGTGTTTACGTTTCAGGTGAGGAATATACAGTATTTGTACCTACAGATCGCGCGTTCCAACGCTGGCATCCAATTGACTGGGGATTCTATCCCTTCTCTGTACCAGAATTTACAGAGGACATAATCTTGAATCATTTTGTGCGAGGAAACTGGAGGCAGGATACCATAAGTGACGGTCAGAAAGTTACGACCTTAGGAGGACGTGATATAACATTCGGAAGACGAGGTAAGTATTGCTTATTGCTTCATGTGAAATCAGATAATTCAGTCCATATAATAATTGTTACCCCTCTAGGACCATAATGTAAGTCAGTGGTCCCCAACGCTTTGTTTTAATTACAAATTTATTATGTGAAGATTTACAGTAATGAATTCATTACGATGGGCAGTGACCATGGTCTGAGGAAAACATATGATACATATAGCACCTTCGAGATTTCCATAAACTGGGAATTTAGCCAGGATTTATGATAATGAACTCAGCTATCCAATTACCTATGCTTTTTGAAGCCGAAGTTAATTTTTTGGTGATGATAACTTTCAGCGACATAGACATAATTGCCACACAAATGATTGCTAATTGAATTATTCTTTGTCGTAGATCAATTCTCGACAAGAAAAGATGGTCGTCGTAACTCAGTCATCTTCACAGTTAATGGAGTGCAGATTGTTAACGGGGACACGCCTGTAGAAAATGGAAACATAATGTTCATCAGCGAGGTTCTGTTTGTAAACGAGGAAGTTGTGACCAAGCTACATCAACAGAATCGTGACAAAGAAACGCCTCCGCTTCTGGCCTACACGTGGATGAATTCCCCATTTATATCACACGCTTACCTGGCTCTACAAAAGGACCCCAGATTCACTTACGTTACTCAACACATCAACTTGGCAGATGTTGCTCCTGTTATAACAGGACATGGTAAGAACTGAGGTTCCTACCAAGGAACATAAAAAACCCTTTGTTGCAAAAAAATATCTGAACTGTGTTATTGTTGCAGTTTTCATAATGTATATGTTACAATAATTGCATTTTAGTCAGTTTAGAATTACTGTGTTGGTGTCAGCAGCTCAGTTCCACAGAGACATACTCTCACTCAATCACTGAAATAAAAATCATATCGGTACTTGTGGGTTATCGGGACACATCACTTTAAAAATAGGTTAGGTTGGGTTAGGTTAGGTTATGTTAGATTAAGATAAGTTAGGTTATGTTATGTTAGGTTAGGATAAGTTAGGTTATGTTATGTTAGGTTAGGATAAGTTAGGTTATGTTATGTTAGGTTAGGATAAGTTAGGTTATGTTATGTTAGGTTAGGATAAGTTAGGTTATGTTATGTTAGGTTAGGATAAGTTAGGTTATGTTATGTTAGGTAAATGTGTGTGGATAAATTATATATATCTACAGACCCACAAGCCAGAGAGATGACCCATAACCTGGCCTAACCTATTTTTAAAGCGATGTGTCCCGATAACCCACAAGTAAAATAATAGCTATTAGGATAAAATTTGTATTGTCAAGTCTCTGTAGTCTAGTAGGATAGCAGTTCTTTGGTTTATTTTCATTCCTAAAAAGAAAAGCCAACTGAAATCATTTCGCACAGTATCTGTGATATATATATACCACTTTACAATTAAAATTGTTGGCTTTGTAATTTAAACCAACCAACTGAATGTTTTAACAATAAATGCATTTATGAAATATTCTTTGTTTCAGGCTACACTTTCTTTGTGCCAACAGACAATGCATTCAAAGAAGTGGGTCTTGGTGGGAAACCAGAATTCTATTTGTCAAGAGGAGAGGGACTCAAACTGCTTCTTAATCATTTTGTGCCCACCAGATTATACAACCGAGACTTGATAAATGGGCAGCAATATAAGACGTTAGGTGGTAAGACAATTCATGTCAAACGTGACGGAGAAAATGTAACAATTGGCGATGCCAAGGTAATAGAAAGTGAAGTTTTTGTTTATAATCTTGGGACAATGTACTACATCGATAGAGTACTCTTCATAACCGGTGATGATATTCCGGTAACAACTGAGGTGGCCGTGTCAGAGAGCTCGACTACTTGGACGAGCGAGCTGCCTCATGATGTGGAAGCCTTGCCAAGTGAGTTGACAGAAGAGAGCGGTACACTCCCTGATGCACTGTTTGAACCAGATGATGACTCACCAACTGAAGAACTTGACACTGTACTGAGCACTACATCAAACAGAGCTGAAGGAAGGACTGAAGAAAACACTGACGGCACGTTTTTTCCACTTGAATTTACGACAATTTATGCAGAACATGCGCTCAGAGAAGGTTCAACCACTGAAATTCCAGAAAATCAAAACTCTAGTACCGGAATTTTAAATTCATCTGTTTCACTGAAATGAAACTGTGTGCTCTTATTCTGAATGCGTATAAAAAAAGTACAAATTTTGTCTCAGCTGAAACATACAAGTTTTAAAACAACATGTAGAGCTGCGGAAATTGAAGATAATTATACTGTGACAGGAGATGAATACGGCAAACTATATTCAGACCTGAATCAAGTTATGCATATAAAATTAGGATCCTTAATGACTGAGACAGAACTTTTAAATTATTACGTGACTTGTCTGAATAGATACGGAGATTAAAAAAAAAATATATAGCAAGGCCAGAAAAATCAGGTATATTTTCTCTTGCATTGTTTTAAAGATGTGTATTAAAACCCACAATTCAATATGCTGAATAGAACATACCAATAATAGTAGCATGACAAGGGAATTTTATGCCCTTAACCACAAAAACCCAAACAGCTAGCCATAATTAGGTCCCTTTTTACTTTTACTTTCTACAGAAAAATTTTGAATTTGGGTACACACATTACTTATACAGATATCATGTGTTAAATTTGTTTAAAGTAAGTAAACTTTACAAATTTTACAGTAAACAAAATTCAGTAAACTCCAAATTCGACATTACTACATTTTCTGAAGGCATAGAATATTTGTATGACGTGACACAGCACATTTGCTCAATGAAGTTTAATAAAAGGTTATTTTCAAATTTCCAAATGTTTTTTATGGTTTAAATAAATACAAAAGGCTTTGTTAATTTGGAGACTGGGATATTTGTATTTTGGAATGTATAAATTTAATCTAAAGTTGTTTACATGTGTAAACAATATTTGACAACCGGATTACAAGCTGCTATTTAACTATTTAAGAATAAGTGAAAGAACGTGAGTGATATCAAAGCATTGTACAGCACAGAAGATTGGACTTTCTTGCAGATCATGTTGAAGTAAGGGATGCAAATCCCTGTAATAAGGTTCTACCAGTCAGACTTTAATTTGGGTTGATGGTCTTGAAGTATGTTGGTATAATTCACAGTAGATAAATATTGAAGATTTCTGTCTTCTGGGTTATTGCGCTGTGTAGTCTGGTCGATGTTAACCAACGTCATCAGGGCGATGAATCATCGCCCTGATGACGGAGGCAGTATGACCTCTGAAACGTTGGTTAACATCGACCAGACTACACAGCGCAACAACCCAGAAGACATAAATCTTCATACTCTGATGACGGAGGCAGTATGGCCTCTGAAACGTTGGTTAACATCGACCAGACTACACAGCGCAACATCCCAGAAGACAGAAATCTTCATACTCACCGCTGTGAGAACCTCAAGTCTTACATAGATAAATATTACTAATTTTTTTCTTCTAAGACCAAATTTTACACAAAAAGTCATTCTAAACAAAGTAAAGCACAACACTTGTATTATAAATTGTCTTCCTTCCTTCCTTCCTTCCTGTTCAGTTTCCTTTAAACTTTTGCCACACTTCACACAATATAACATCGTCTATAAAGGGCTTTTATGTTAACCGCTCTGTTAGCTTCAGGATACAGTGAATATAAATGATGTGGCGAAGGATTAATAAAAACAATTCTGTGTGCTCAGAAAACAAACTATGAAAGAACTTATTTCCAGCAATGTAAATATTAAAAAAAAACAACTCTTGTGACCATGTGACACATAAGAAAAAGAAGAGAGTGATGTGATAGATTTTGTATTTTAGTAAATTATAAATAAAATTATATAATGTTATTTAATTTTTGTGAAATTTTATTGTGTTAATTTGAAGTACCAAATAGCTAAGTAAAACTTACTATAAAAAACTCAAAAATAAAATCAGCTTAACGTGTAAGATCTATTATAAAAATTTGTGATTTCGTCGTCGTCAATAAATTACGTCATCAATCAACAATGTCAACAAATAACGCTTCACAACAAAGAATCAAAAATCAAAAAATGACGTCATCAACAATGTCAACAGATATTTGTTTACTCGACATTGTTGTCAATAAATTACGTCATCAACAATATCAACTATAAACAAACTCGGCATTGTTGTGTTCCACAACAATGCCGAGTTTAGTGTCTTACTCAAGATTTTAAAACGCAACCAACCCCCCCGAAGGGGTTGGTTGCGTTTTAAACACTTGATCAAGCTCCCCCGAAAGGGGGTTGGTCAAGTGTTTTAACCCTCCATTCGGGGGGTTTAGTTTAGTTTCTTACACAAGATTTTAAAAAGCAAC